GTTCTTCTTCTTCTTGAGCATGGTCGCTGAAAGAAGTTGGCGTACCATCTGAACCTTCTTCACCTCCACAATCTGGCGCTTCGTCATCTGGTTCACCAGTAGCATGAATAGATTCTTGCGGTCCTTCTGGTTCATCATCCTCGAGGTGTGGTTCTCTCTCTTCCAGCTTGATAGGATCTTCATGCTGCTCTTCCAGTTTCGGCGTCTTAGGAGAAGCTGGCTTCTCTTCTTGTTCACCCATCTCTTCGTCCAGATCAATGTCGGACCTTGCCGACTTTTCTTCCTCGCTTGGTTCAGATGTGGCTAATCTTTCAGACAGTGATGTGACATTCATCAATGCTTGGAGCCTATCGGACACGCTCCCTCCGATTTCAGCGGCGGATTCTGACGGCCAGCAGGATCCTGCTGTCAGGGCTGTGCCTGGTCAGGAAAAGCCAGACTTGAAAGTTCAACCGGGAGTTTGCCCACAGAGCTTTTCAGAGGTCAAAGCTGCACAGGGCGCGGATCACGCATTGTCTAGCAGTCATGATTTCGAGGCGGCGGTCTTCAATGGCGTGAACGCGCTGGCAGCGCCCAACGAATCGCTGTCTTGGGAGACAGGCGTTTTCAAACAAACAAATATGGACGACCCGCTGGCGGTTGGGCAACGGACTTGTCTTTGGATATGTCATGGCGGGCAAATGATTTTTCAATTGCTAGCCAACGCTCAAACGCCACAGCTGGCAAGCCCCGCGTGTTCGAAGCACCAATTCTTCGGGGCAGCGGCGTCGAACACAGACGTGGCTTTGACGCGATCGCAGGCAGGTTGCGCTTGAAAAATGGAGTATTATCCCCGGGCGCAACTTTGCAGCGAGCACGTGTGGTCGCATTCCTTTGGAGGAGAGGGCCGGGCAGCCAGATGAAGCTGTTTGCTTCGAGATGTTGTCCACGCATCAAATCTCCATCGACTGTTGCAAAGAGAGCAGGTTCATTTTGTGCTATCTCAGGTGGCATTTGGGCAATATTGATGGACTGGCGTTTCCTTTGAAAGAGAGCCATGTTTACAAGTACTTCTGCGACCTTGTGGGTCACCCAGGGCGGGGCAGTCCATGGTTGAAGCTTGCCGTTTTGCGCATTTTGCGCTGGGCTTGGACGGTGCCAAAGAAGTCTTCAGCAGTTCCAGAGTCTGGGTAAATCAAAGCATCTTCTTGCTAGAAAGAACCCTTGCACGCCCGCCCCTCATTTGTTGGCGGCGAAGGTTTCTCAATTGCGTCAGATCTTGAACGATGTTGACGAAGTGATGATGAAGTGCTTTTTATGCGCGTAAGCTCGAAGTTTATTCACAGAGTGGCAGAGAGCAAGCCATGTCAGAGAGAGTTCCATTTTACCTGCGGTGTCCTCAAACCACACAAGCGCGTGCAAATTTTGGAAGAAGCTTGCAACATAGGACGCAAGTGCAACAAGTGTTTTCCTGAAGACATCAAACTTCGGCCGGCGAGCTGGCTTGAGAATCCGAAGGTCGTTGGAGTGTGGGTATTATGTCGCATAGGGCAGGCGCTTTATCAAGGTGGATCAACTTGGCGAGAAACCTCGCAGAAGCTCCATGTTTGTCCATGTCAGGCGCATCTTGGAAAAGTCTCCTCTAGGAGCTGAAGTATGAGGATACTGCAATAGTTGATCTGATGGCCAGCGGGCGCCAGCTCGCAGGTGAATCCCAAAGAGTAGTATTTTTCCGTCTAGACCAGGCCAAATCTGATCTCGGCGCAATAGCTGGCGGAGCTGGCGGGAGACATTCGAAGTGCGACCCTGCAGGCAACTCGATCGAACAAAGTGGACGAAGCTGTTTTCGAGAAGACTCTTGAACAAGTGCGCAAGGGATGGGCGCAAGGGCACTGCTTTTTGCGGGGATGAGCTCATAAGCAGACGGCTTGGCCTCAAACAGAAGAAGGGCAAGGTTCGACTCATTGACAACCTTCGCGTCAACGATCAACATGAGTTGCAAGTTCTCAGAGAAACCAATGCTACACATGCTTGACATCATCCCTGCGTGTGTGGTGCAGCTTTTCAAATGTTTGTCAGACACTCGCTTGAAGCGCGTGTCATTTGACCTCAAGGCTGCGTACGAGCAGTTACCAATAGCCGCAGATGCGTTGAAACATGCCTATCTTTAATTTTTTCACACTGTTGCAGGGCAACCTGTCGTTTACCAATCGCTCGCAGTTCCTTGCGGCTCCACCCGGCGGCGCGCTTCTTTTTGCATTGCGCCAGGGCAATTTGACTTTTGGGAGCCAAGGGGCTCAGGGTCACGCGCGCGGCCTTTTACGACGATTTCGTTCTGCTGGAAACAAAACCGCTTTCCAACAACACATATGAGGTGGTTCGCGTCCTGTTTAATCTTCTCGGATGGGTATACGACGCAGACGGGGACAAAGCCGCGAAATTTTCAAGTACTGTTAACGCTTTTGGGCACCACAACCGATTTGAGCAAAAGCCCCATTTGAGAGGCCTCCATCAGGAACACGAAGATCCGGATAGCCGAATTGGCTGAAAACATAGAGCGGATTACGACAACTCGTGAACCCTGCAGCTGAGGCTCTTCGCTTGAGGCGCAGAAGCAGACGACGCAACATCGCGCTTGGGCGCAGTTCTGGTTGACCCGGCTGGCGCCCGATTTTCTTCTCGCATCGCTTGCTGCAGCTAGCCTACATCAAAAGCTTGAGGCTTGCAAAGAAGCAAGCTGTCATCTTCGAGGAAGAAGCTTTGGCTGCGTGTCTTGCGCTGAGAAAGGATCGCCTGGCTCGTTGCCAAGCGGTCTTTTATATAGACAACGAAGAACGCTTGCTTCGGCTGCCCTGTGATAACTCAGATGGTCAGGCTCACTTGAAGGGTCTGACATGTTACTTACAACTGCCAAGAAAATACAAAGGTTCACGGTGACCCAAAAGAACCTTCAATGGATGTCTGCCACGGTGAATGCCAGGAGTGGTGTGCCTCATATGAAATATTTTCTGCCCGGAAAGGACCAATGTAGGTATTCCCAACCATTCAACCATGAACGCCTGGTTCTGAAGCATTGTCCTGAAAGGTGGCCGCGTGTCAATATTTGGAAGAACACCTGTCATGACGGATTTGATGGGCTCGTTGGCCTTGGCAGAGCTCTTCATCAAATAATCTGCAAGACAATACTCTGAACGTACATGAGCAAGGTCATGCTGTGGTTACTAAGTTGTTAGCGTCAGTACGGATATGGGCATGTGCAAGTTCGCCACGTGTGAAAAGACACGTGCGGAAGCAACGCATCAATCCGCGCAACTCCGCCACCATGGTGGACATGGTAGTAGCAGCGACCTTCTGAGTTTCATTATCATTGCGGGACCCTCTAGACTTCGGAGAATCTTTATGAATTTTACAAAGATTCCGGTCTTTGCGCAAGAAAAATCACATGCGCGCTGTGATGATTTGTCATCGTTGTTCCAAAAGGATGCATCAGGGTATCCAACCAATCTGAATTTACCCTGAAGAGGAATTAATCTCACACTAAGAGGAATATTCTTAATGGTTCTGACGGTCTTTTTTACGGCTCTCGCATCACCAACAGTGACAGATGAGGTGAAAGTTGGCGGTGCGCATAGCTGGGTTCAGCTGCACATCGTCCGTCAGGTGTTTTTCGGCATCAGTTTTGAGGTCCACGATAATGCAGCGCATGCTAGGCAACAGTGCCCGCTTGTCGGGCCAAGGAGCAGGTAGGCAAAGGGAACGCTGGCACGTCATCCGCTGGGCAGATCCGTGCTTGGACGGGAAGTCCTGGCCGCGACGGGCGGGAAGGTGAAGGGGTAGGCCCAGCTCACAAAGCAGTTTCGCCACTGGTCGCGACGCTGAGTTTCGCAAGCTCTATCACCTCCTCCACTTCCACATCTTGGACCTGCAAGCCGCATCGAAGGTTCATTTAACAATTTAACAGAAAGCTTTTCCGAGAATCTTCTCTGACTTTGAATCCAGATACTGCGGGAACTTGGAGGGTTGCTGATAAACTGTATATGACTGCAGATGGCTGTGCATACTTGGCTGCAGAAGTATGTGTCGAACACCTAAAAATTTTATTTGTCTAAAGAACGGTTATGGGTTTCAAGATTCAAGACTCGAGGCCCCAAACGAACTTTCTCAGATTCTTGAATCTTGAGCCTTGGGTCCCAGGATACAAAACAAAAAATGAAAACTCCAGCGTTGTCCCAATATTCCAGGTGGCAGATGTCGCTTTCTTTGCTTACATTACACAGTGTGTATATATAGGTGTATTTACTTATGGCACCCCCTATTGCAGCAAAATGAATGAAGCAAAAAAGGCATGAAACACCGTAAAACACAGCTCAAACTCACCAAACCAGGTTCCATGGGGGGGCGACATTTGGACATACTTATATATATATATATAATGTTTATGTGTTTTCCACACGACAGTTTGGGAAACCCAAGCATCTCGTTTGGGGGACGGATGCACACATCGGACTTGGCCAGAAAGGAATGAGGCTTCCTGGCGTGTTTGTCTTGCCGGCGAACTAATTGATAAACCAGCGAGCAAGCAAACCGACCCACCAACAGCCTGCCAGCCTGCGCTAGGGGTAACGCTGAGAAACACACAAGTACCAAAAAAAACCTCCCGTGTCTGTCTTTGGGCTGAGCTCTGTCCCCTCTGCTCTGGCTCCCATCCAGGTAGCTGCTGGAAATTCTGCAAGGAAGCTTGCAAAAAACCGAAGCCACACCGTTGAACTAGTCATGGTTGCACACACACACACACACACACGTGCGAGGCATTCTCCTTCAGCCCCACCAAGGAAAATGTGGTGTCGCATTTTGACAAGCAAATGGCCTGCGCAAAATTCAAATCATGGTGGCCGCTACATGATAAGCATCATGCGCAGCCCCATGCCATTCAACCGAACTCCGCTATAATGTCCTTTCGCTGGTTTCTGAAAACATCCGCCGGGTTTCCGCAATTTCAAGCAAATCGCCGCAAGGCGTACGGGCTCGTCGACTTCCACGGGTAGTTCCTGGCGAGCGTCTGACAAGCAAAATTCCAGGTACAAATCAAAGGCTGACTACTTTTGCAGGGGCGAACACATGCCCCATCACCCCCTTGCCATTTCTGACTGTAAGAAGGTTTGGGCAACTCTAGAAACAGAATCCGTCACAGGAGCTCACAAATGAGCATTTCGAACCACCCTCGCCCAAATTTGGGCCGCGTGTTGCGAGCTGCTGCTTGCCGCTGCGTGACCCTGTGCAAACACACAAACATCTGCGGCGGCAAGCACACTTGTTTCATTCTTTCAAGCAGCCTGCTGCTGCATGGCCAAACACAGGCAGTGCCAATCATACAGACCCGTCGCGCGTCGCCTCCGACTTCCCTGATTTTTGAACCAGATGTGACTCACACAGACCCCGACCTGATCAGACACATAAGGAGTGAGGCGTTGAGCAAAATGGGACATGGCTGGGAACCCCGACCGTAGTAACAACCCAGAGCCGGGACCACCAACACAAAACCAAGAACACGAGAGGAGACTGGAGCAGCAAGCGCAGCCAGGGCGCCCCCTTTGCTGCAGGCTGATTGCCAATGGACGTCATGCTCTTGCAGACGTTGGCGCTATCGGAAGCAGAGGCACTACAGCTCGCCACCAGAAGGAAATTGATCCCTGCGGGCTTGGTCAAGAAAGCCAGGCAAAACAAGGCACGCCGGAAAAGACTTCCAGAGCCCGTGTCAGAGCTTAGGCTCTCGGCCAAGGCTTTGGCCCTGGGTGTCCATACTACAGAAGCGGCCCTGCTCTAAAGCGAAAGGCAGCTGGAGCACCCCCAACAAAAAGAGCCCGGGCAAGTCGCCACATCCTTGCACAGGCCGCGCCCCTGGTTTACTGCGCGTACCCGCTGGCGCCCAAAGATGTAGGTAGGTAGACTTTAGACAACCATGAGGCGTTCGGGAATTCATGGCAAACATTGCAACAATTGGGAGCACCAAAGGTACAGAAACATCGAATCATGCACCGGTGTCGGACAATAAACAACATGGAGAAGGTCGAACAACATAGAATCGGACATCGGACAACAGCTTTCTTGAGAAGGGTTCCCTTATGGTTCGCTGGCTGCCAAGCGGGCTTTCAATAGATCGAACTACCCAGTCTGAAGGCAGGCGGCGTATCAGGATAGTGGCCAAGTAAACAAGAACACTGCGGCAACTCTGCTCGGCCAGCCCAGGGCCCCCCTCACCGGCCCCCCCGAGCAATCTTGACAGCTGGTCCCGACGATTAAAGTGAAAATAGCAACTCCTCGGTCTCCCGCACTGTCACTGAGCACAACTGGCGGAGTAACACCCGCAGCGGGTGAAAGAAACAACTTAAACTCCAACCACTACCTGCCTCCACACCCACCTAGCCGTTTTCCTACCGACAATCCGACCAACCTACATACACACACACATACAAACACACATACCAACATGGTGGGTGAGCGGGTGAGGTGAGTGAGTGAGTGAGTGAGTGAGTGAGTGAGTGAGTGAGTGAGTGAGTGAGTGAGTGAGTGAGTGAGTGAGTGAGTGAGTGAGTGAGTGAGTGAGTGAGTGAGTGAGTGAGTGAGTGAGTGAGTGAGTGAGTGAGTGAGTGAGTGAGTGAGTGAGTGAGTGAGTGAGTGAGTGAGTGAGTGAGTGAGTGAGTGAGTGAGTGAGTGAGTGAGTGAGTGAGTGAGTGAGTGAGTGAGTGAGTGAGTGCGTGCGTGCGTGCGTGCGTGCGTGCGTGCGTGCGTGCGTGCGTGCGTGCGTGCGTGCGTGCGTGCGTGCGTGAGTGAGTGAGGGAGGGAGGGAGTGAGTGAGTGAGTGAGGGAGGGAGGGAGGGGAGTGAGTGAGTGAGTGAGTGTGAGTGAGTGTGAGTGAGTGTGAGTGTGAGTGAGTGTGAGTGCTTGTGAGTAAGTGAGTGTGAGTGAGTGAGTGTGAGTGAGAGTGAGTGAGTGAGTGAGAGTGAGTGAGTGAGTGAGTGAGTGAGTGAGTGAGTGAGTGAGTGAGTGAGTGAGGGCGTGAGTGGGTGAGTGAGTGAGTGAGTGAGTGAGTGAGTGTGAGTGAGTGTGAGTGAGTGTGAGTGAGTGTGAGTGAGCGTGAGTGAGCGTGAGTGAGCGTGAGTGAGTGTGAGTGAGTGTGAGTGAGTGTGAGTGAGTGTGAGTGAGTGTGAGTGAGTGTGAGTGATTGTGAGTAAGTGAGTGTGAGTGAGTGAGTGTGAGTGAGTGTGAGTGAGAGTGAGTGAGTGAGTGAGTGAGTGAGTGGGTGGGTGAGTGAGTGAGTGGGTGAGTGAGTGAGTGAGTGGGTGTGGGTGTGGGTGGGTGGGTGGGTGGGTGGGTGGTTGGGTGGGTGGGTGGGTGGGTGGGTGGGTGAGTGAGAGAGTTGGTGAGTGAGTGAGCGAGCGAGTGAGGGAGTGAGCAAGTGAGTGAGTGAGTCAGTGAGTCAGTGAGTCATCAGCGAGTCAGTGAACGAATGAGTGAATGAGTGACTGAGTGAGTGATTACGAGAGTGAGCGAGTGAGCGAGTGAACGAGTGAGTGAGTGAAGTGGACGGAAATCAGGCGAAACGCGAAATGGAGAGGAGTAGAATGGAGCGGAGTGGAGGGGAGTGGAGTGGAGCGAGTGGGTGAGACACATAACCGTACGTACATACGCACCTGCATACCTTCGTACATACATACAAACATAGATACATACGTACATTTGTACACACCTACATGTTTATGCATGACATGAGGCTACATTACGTTACAGCACGACCCCGCTCGTTGCAATACAATTCATTACACACCTACACACACACACCTACACACACACCATTCCGTGCCTGCATGCAAACATGACATTACATAACTTAACATAACGTGAAACAAACATAACATGACAGGGCAAATCACGCATCGCAACATACATGCAAAGTACGTACATACACACACACATACACACACACATACATACATACATACATACATACATACATACATACGTACATACATACATACATACATACATACAAACATTACATTACATTACATTACATTACATTACATACATACATACATACATTACATTACATACATACATACATTACATTACATACGTACGTACGTACGTACATACATACATACATACATACGTACGTACACACATACATACATACATATACACATACACGCATACACGCATACACACTGCGTACATTACTCGCATACATATTTACATACGTACGTACATACATTCATTGCTTACACGCATACCTACATACATACATGCATGCATACATACATAGATACATACACACACGCACACAATTACATACGTACAAACAATACACACATGCATATATGCGTACATACATGCGTTAAATAAATTCTTACATACGTAAATTACATTACATTGTATACGCGGCGCTACAATCCACTACACTACACAACATAAAATTGCATTGCTGCGCAGCACATGCAATACACGACGCGCATACTACACACATTACAGACATAGCACACATTACATGCATTGCATACATTGCATGCCTTACGTACATGACACATACACGTGGCACACAGTACATACATTACAGGCCAATGCGTTGCATGACAATGTAACGTAGCGTGCTACACAAAACACGCATTGCAAACACTACATATGTTGGATGCGCTACATACGTTGCTCACGTTGCATTCGTTGCACACATTACACACATGACACACCTTTGCCTGATACTTTGCGTTACAGTAAAGTACATCACCATATTGCAACACATCACAGCGCGCGACACACAGCACACACGCTACACACATTGCACTACACAAGACTACTAGATTACAGCACAACCTATTACAATTACATTGCGACAGTTGCAATTGACAAACTTGCGACTCTTGCAGGAAATTTGTACACATTCCCAGCGGGTTGCATTGTTGTTGCGAATCACACGTGCTAAGTTCCCAGCCAGTCGAGAAGATGTCAGCCAAGAAGGCGTCGTATGATGAAGAGGCATACATCTGCCAGCGCGAGCTAGCAGTGACCCACATCCAGAAAGGAACTGCAGCAACCACAAATAAGGAATCGCCCTGTCATCAAGGCAGGGCGCCGCAAGCTTCATTCAGAAGAGGCCTCAATGGACCTACGAAACATAGGGTGCAAAAATCCTCTTGACCATTGTCTTGGAACTACAGCAATTTCTTTTTTGTTCCAAGTTTGTAGAAGCTCTTTGACGTTTTGAACTGCCCCAAGCACACACACAATCTCTACTAACGTAGAACCTCGTCAAGTTCGCGTTCATGCTTCAGACAGACCGAAGAAAAAGGCTTGTGGAGGAAGTTGCACAAATTGCGGCATTAAGTTTGCCAATGGCATTCTTTGCGGTTCTGATCTTCCCCGTTTTTTTTTTGGGGGGGGGGAGCGGGGGGCGGTGGTTCCGCGGGTTCCGCGGGTTCCGCGGGTTCCGCGGGGCCGCGCAGCGCTTCGCGGGGTCCGTGGGGTTGCGCGCGTGCAACCTGCTGCGCGTGCGCTGGTGATAACTTGCTATGCGTGTGCTCTGTTGCAACTTGACCTGCGCGCAGTTTGCTCTGCGCATGCTCTCGCGTTACTTGCTCCGCACGCGCGCCCAGCGCGTGTGGATTGGCTGGCTGGCGACGTTACTGAAAGAAGCCTTCCGCACGCTTTCGGGAAAAACATCGGGGACCAAAACGGTGCTACTAAGTCGGAACCTGGGGTCTGGTGCGGCTGATTTACACGTGTTCTCCTCTAGGTTTGGGTCAACATGGCTAATTTTCGAATGAGTCGCAGCACAAACTTTAAAAGGGAAACGGCGCCTTAGTTTTTCACACCGGCCAAAGCTAAACTTGCTTAGCCGGAGCTACTCTACAAGTAGACTTCAATCTTATACCTAAAAACCTATATTCACTTTTTATGTTGTATTTATCTGTCCGTGCATCTATCTGCTTCTCGGTCTATCTATCAAACCTGATCCAATTATTTGTCTATGTTTCTGTCTATCTATTTAAATGTCGTTCTCTCTTTACCTGCCACAAGATCTATCTATCTCTATCTATCTACCCATCCGTGTCTCTAATCTTATGACCCTCAGAGATAGGCAATCACTGAAAATCAGCAAAAAGATAAAAATACAGACGCGGAAACAAACAAAAAACAACACAAAAAAACAAAAAAAGAACAAATAAAAAACAAAAAACTGCAGCCAGAAACCCTTCAGGGGCAGACCAGGTATCCAAAATGTGCAAAAACACGAGGAAAAAAACAAAAAAAGAACAAACAAAAAACAAATAAAAAAACAAAATGCAGCCCGGGACACTTCAGGGGCAGACCAAGCATGCAAAATGTGCAAAAACACTAGGAAAAAAACAAAAAAAAAGAACAAATAAAAAACAAATAAAAAACAAAATGCAGCCCGGGACACTTCAGGGGCAGACCAAGCATGCAAAATGTGTAAAAACACAAGAAAAAACAAAAAAAAGAACAAAAAAGGAACAAACAAAGAACAAATAAACAACAAAATGCAGCCCGGGACACTTCAGGGGCAGACCAGGCATCCAAAATGTGCAAAAACACGAGGAGAAAAACAAAAAAAGAACAAACAAAAAACAAAAAAAGAACAAAAAAAGAACAAAAAAGAACAAATAAACAACAAAATGCAGCCCGGGACACTTCAGGGGCAGACCAGGCATCCAAAATGTGCAAAAACACTAGGAAAAAAACAAAAAAAGAACAAACAAAAAACAAAAAAAGAACAAAACAAAAACAAAAAAAGAACAAAATGCCGCCCGGGACACTTCAGGGGCAGACCAGGCATCCAAAATGTGCAAAAACACGAGGAAAAAAACAAAAAAAGAACAAAAAAGAACAAACAAAGAACAAAATGCAGCCCGGTACACTTCAGGGGCAGACCAAGCATGCAAATGTGTAAAAACGAGGAAAAAAACAAAAAAAGAACAAATAAACAACAAAATGCAGCCCGGGACACTCCAGGGGCAGACCAGGCATCCAAAATGTGCAAAAACACAAGGAAAAAACAAAAAGAACAAAAACAGAACAAATAAGAAACAAAATGCAGCCCGGGACACTTCAGGGGCAGACCAAGCATGCAAAATGTGTAAAAACACGAGGAAAAACACAACAAAAGAACAACAAAAAACAAATAGACAGCAAAATGCAGCCCGGGACACTTCAGGGGCAGACCAGGCATCCAACATGTGCAAAAACACGAGGAAAAACACAAAAAAAGAACAAAAAAAGAACAAACAAAGAACAAATAAACAACAAAATGCAGCCCGGGATACTTCAGGGGCAGACCAGGCATCCAAAATGTGCAAAAACACTAGGAAAAAAACAAAAAAAAGAACAAAAAAAGAACAAATAAAGAACAAAATGCAGCCCGGCACACTTCAGGGGCAGACCAAGCATGCAAAATGTGCAAAAACACGAGGAAAAAAACAAAAAAAGAACAAATAAAAAACAAAAAAAGAACAAACAAAGAACAAAATGCCGCCCGGGACACTTCAGGGGCAGACCAGGCATCCAAAATGTGCAAAAACACGAGGAGAAAAAAAAGAACAAACAAAAAACAAAAAAAGAACAAAAAAGAACAAATAAACAACAAAATGCAGCCCGGGACACTTCAGGGGCAGACCAGGCATCCAAAATGTGCAAAAACACGAGGAAAAAAACAAAAAAAGAACAAACAAAAAACAAAAAAAGAACAAAACAAAAACAAAAAAAGAACAAAATGCCGCCCGGGACACTTCAGGGGCAGACCAGGCATCCAAAATGTGCAAAAACACGAGGAAAAAAAAAGAACAAACAAAAAACAAAAAAAGAACAAATAAACAACAAAATGCAGCCCGGGACACTTCAGGGGCAGACCAGGCATCCCTGTTTCCCTTTTTCTGTGCATGCGTGTTGTTTGTTTTCTGTTTTTTGTCTGTTTGTTTTCTGTTTTTTTGTTCTGTTTTTTTCCCCGGGGTGTTTTTTTGTTTTGTTTTGTTTTTCAGTGTGTATTTTTGGATTGTATTGTTTTTGTTTTTTGTTTGTTTTTTGTATCTTTTTTGTACTTCCCAGTTATTGCCTCAGTGAAAGTCTTAACTCTAATCCATCTGCCTGTTTACCTGCCACAAGATCTGCACCTGACCTTCAAAAAGCGCCGCGCCTGCCACGCACTCTGCACTTGACCTTGCAAAAGCGATGCGCCTGTCACATAATCTACACCTGTCCTTGCGAAAGTAACTGACTGCGCGCTCCCTTTCTTGCATCATAGTCCGGAACAGCCCAACGCACGGGTGGATCCACGTGCGCTAGTCCCTTTCAGCCATGTAGGAAGCCTTGTACAGCACTTGCCATGAGATGCACCGCATGTGGAACGCACAGCATGACTGATGCTCTGTTGCGCATCCCGCAGCGGCGTTCCTGTAGCTTGCCCGCCAGAAAAGAAAAGCGCCGCCTCCCTCGTTGGTTGCTTCTCCGTTGCTACCGCGGCAGCGGAAATGAAGAGGCGATCGTGTGGCTTGAACGCTTTGAGATTGCGGCTATGGGTGGACCTCTACCAGGGTGGACATCAACAACCAGCAGTCTATTAATGCGTTCACTGCGGCAGCCAGAAGAGGCATCAACAGCAGATCGAAAAGCCGCATTAGCGGCTGCAAATTTTAGACACAAAAAACTTGGCGCCCTTGATGTTCATGGCTAGCACAGGCAGGCCTCACAGAGTTTCAGACAAAGAGAGGGGGAGAGAGAGCGAGAAAGAGAGAGGGAGAGAGAGAGAGAGAGAGAATGAGAAAGAGAAAGAGAAAGAGAAAGACAAAAAAAGAAAAGAGACAAAGAGAGAGAGAGAGAGATATTTTAAAAAAGAAAGGGAGAGAGATACACAGAGAGACAGAGAGAGAAGAGAGAAGAGAGAAGACACAAGAGAGAAGAGAGAAATGAGAAGTGAGAAGAGAGAAGAGAGAAGAGAGACGACAGAAGAGAGAAGAGAGAAGAGAGAAGAAAAAGGAAAGAAGAAAAAAGAAAGAAGAAGGAGAAGAGAGAAGAGAGAAAAGAGAAGACAGAGAGACAGAGAGACAGACAAACAAAGAGATAGAGAGACAGACAAAAAGAGAGACAGAGAGACAGAGAGACAGAGAGACAGAGAGAGAGAGAGAGAGAGAGAGAGAGAGAGAGAGAGAAAGAGAAAGAGAGAGAGAGAAAGAGAAAGAGAATCACCAGCATTCAAGGCATAGAAACGCAAGCCCACACATACCAGTCAACCTTCTGCGCCTCACGCGCTGATCCTTTTCTGGTCACGTGGCGGAGGAAGCCAGAAGCGGCATGAAGAAGAGTTTCCAGGCACAGGCTGGTGCAGATCAGCGCCTTTGTTGGGGACGAGCTCTGGGAGCATGACTCCTACGCCGCATTAGCAGAAGATCCAGCAAGGGAAAGGAGAAATCGCAAAAAGTTGCAAAAATAGGCATGGCTGAACACAAAGCAGACCCCGGCACAGACACATATTAAATATGGCGGCTGGAAAGGCGGCAAAGCAAAGAAACTCGTGGGCAAGAAAGGAAAAGGCAAAGGAAGCCGACATAGCCACGCCTACAGCAAACGTCGTCCAGCAAGAGCAGCCAGAGACCGCTCAAGAGTATGACGTCGAGTGGTGGACATGGGCATCTGTAGCAGACCACTGGTACGACTGCGTGCCAGAACAGAAGAACAAGCATGGCTAGCAACGTCTACGTCTTCCTACAAGGCAATTCAGTATTTTTGTAATTTTGTGTAGTACTGTTTGTGTAGTAATTTGGGGTAGTTGTGTAGTAATTTGTGCACTTTTGCAACACATGTTTGTGCAGTATTTTTTGCCAAGGTTACATTGTTTAGCTGTGTAGTTTTTTGTGTTGTGATTTTTGTGTAGTAAGTTTTGTGTGGCAATTTAGGTGCGTAGTCCAATTGTGTGTAGTACGTTTGTGTACATGTTAGCCAAAAAAAGCTTCTTTTTTGATGTTTTCCATGCAAT